CCGGATCACCTGAGAGCTTCCCCTGGCCAGGTACTTTGAATATACAGCTGTCTCCGTGTGATTTATTCTGAATGTGTTGTGAATTCTTCCAGGTTGCTGTGGATAAGAACGAACGCGCAGAGGGACCTGTTAAAGGGTACTTCAACACTACTTATCACGAAAAACGGTCATGGCATTTTAAGTGAAATTTGTTCTTTAATGTGAACTAATGTCTACATCATTACTATCATTATTTTACTACTTCAGCAATTCTTAATACTGCCAGTGGAAGAGGTTCAGCGAAAACTCATCGTGTGAAAAACTGCTGTTTGTAGGGCTGTGAGGCTTCTTCAAGTCTGTTCTCTAAGAAACTTCCACATACCCCTAGCCAGTCCCTAATCTGGTATGCCACCTCCAGTCGCCGCCACGGCGAGCTGCCAGAGGTGAGGAGGTGCGAGTAGCATAAAAAAGGTACTTCCATGGTTTCAAACACATGTACACATGAACACATTCCTCCTTGCTTGATCCTCTTGGCTGGTTCGTTCTGTCATTATGAGGGTTTTAAGTAGGAACAATGTGCAAGTAAGGAGATGCCAGAAGCCAGACGACTGAAAGTAAGTTGAGATTTATTTTCTCTCACTCAAAACCCAGGCAAGGCAGCCATGACCAAGGGAAACAGAACCAGGTCAGGAAACAATAATAGTAGATGAGACCAGACATAACCAAATGGTAGCAATGACACTGTCTAACAAGACATCTAACATGACGAACCAGCGGGAAACTAAGGCAACAAAGGAACTTAAATACAAACAGGAATTGCAGGGAAAACCAATGAACAACAAGACCAGGTAATCAAGGGAAACTAGGAACTGGTGTGGAACAGACTGCAGAGAGACAGAGGGAATGAGACCAATTAACATAAAATCCCAAACAAAGGGTAGACAAAGACCAAACCTGGTTTAAATAAACAGAAACACAAACTAATACACAAAAAGATCTTGACAGACCATCATGAATTTATTTTAACTGTCAACTTGCCAACTAAAGTCAGTGCGCGGGGCCATCATTGTTCCTTTTAAAATGATTGGCCTGAAGGGGCGCGGCACTGATGGTGTAGGGGTTAAGCGCGCATCTACTATGTACGGAGGCTACAGTCCTCGAGGCGGCTGTCCCGGGTTCGAGTCCTGGACCATTTACCGAATGTCTCCCCCTCTCTCTACCCCCTTTCCTGTCTACCTACTGTCAAAAATAAAGGCCACTAGTGCCGAAAAAATATCTTAAAAAAAAAAAAAAATGACTGGCCAGAAGTGGATTAGCTGAACAAGTTGAACAATCAGATCTAAGAGTCTTATTAAAATGCTCTGGTTGATAGCCTCTATTATTTGATGGTGTACTGATGACAAGGAATTGTGAAAAAAATAAATAATGAATTAACTGTACATGATTTTAACATAAAAAAAAATCTAATTTCTACCAATCATTTCAACATTTATGCTACTAATACATGCAATTCAGTTTAGTTTAGTTTATTATAAATAGTATGTAGTAATTTCAGTTTCATATTGACAGATTTAAAGTTAAACTTTGTTCCTAGAAAAAAAGCAACTTATATGCATTTTTTTTAATCTTAAATTTCCATTGCTAAATATATAAATAGCTATATTATAGTGTAATATAACACACATTTTTGGTTACTTACTCCATATGTCCACACTTGCTTAAAATCAAAACTACATGGTGAAACTAAGGTTTTGTTTGTGTGACCCATTTGGTGCAGTGGCTCAGTGTGTGAGTGTGTGTAAAATTCAGACCTGCAAATATATAATTTTAAAACTTTTTGGTAGTTGCCACAAGGCTGAAATTGCTTGAACGTTCTGTGTGTATGTAGTGTGTGTGTCTGATTACTGAGACCCACTGAGAGCACCCAGTCCACCCAGAGGGGTGGCAAGGGACAGATGGCAGGGAGGGATGAGTGTGGAAGCTGCCAGGCAGCATTAGTCACACCCATTACTCACAGACTCTTGCTGGCAGACAACAAGTGATTGTGGTCTTGACTTGTACGTAACAGGAAATTCTCATTATCGTCTTGCTTAGGAAGGAACAATGAGGAGGGCAATTAGAAACAGGCAAGTGGGCACTAAAGAGGAAGAGGAGGTTGCAATCTCTTCAGGCTTTGTGTTCGTCTTTCTTATCACTGTCGTCGCCACTTGGCATGATTTCAAACAGTTTGAATCCCCCTGAGACTTAATACCTAAAACAATAACAACAAATGAAAGGAATATGAACTGCAGCCACAGTGCAAACAATCCGTGTTGCCGGTCTGAGATTTCTCCTCCATTGCTATGTCATTCCTGAACATATAAGTACAAACACTTTCAAACTCATGTTGATCACTGTCCACCAACACATGATCTAGGCCATTTTCCCCTTTTAGAAGCCCGTTAATGAAGTCACAAACAGGCTCGCCTATTGGGATGTGCCCAGCCTCTTCTGCAAGGATGTAGGGAGACTTGAGGACTAATTGGCAGCACCCTTGTTTCCAGTGTAATTGCACTTATCTAGCAAGTCACCTTCGAGGGTCATTAAGAGGCTTTGGATTAATTGAGCAGAGCACTACAGAGTGGAAGGGAGAGTGGAGCCAAGCCGAGCAGATATTTGGCCCATTACACCAAAAGCAAAACTTTCCCTGAGTCTGACACGTCTGCTCACATGGGACACTTTCAATCAGTCTACCTTAATCGCTCCTCTGCTGCGACCAACAAATGCTCGCCGCAGTTTTCTTTTTATAGAATTCTCAGTGATCATTATTTCACAGCGCTACTCCCACCAGCCCTCTCTAATGGGTCAGATACACCGCTTTAAGAGCGTGATGGAGTAATGACAGTGCTTTTAGCGTGCTCATGTGTAAGGAAGCGTGTGGAAAAACAGGCTGCAGAGAGGACTGAGTGAAATGCCTCAAGTGGGATGTAAATTATGACTATGAGGCAGAGTGGGGCTGTATGCTTTCACAGCGTGTCCTGTGCAGAAATTCACACTTCTCATCACATCAAGGGCACATACAGATCCCTGCCAAAATAGAAGCGGGGAAGCCAAAGTGTAATGAAACTCAGTGCTCTGGGAAATGGCTACTGAGTGTGTTTTGGCTGCCTTCATTGGTGTACTTTGAAAGGACTGGATCTTATTTTCAAGGTCACTTGTGTGGACAACACTTTGGTCTCATCTTGTCTTGAACAGCTCAGGAAAAATGGCTCAATTTATTTTCTGCAATAAGAAACATGCTAGGGATGTAAAAACACCCCAACCAACATGGTTTGGGATAATTTAGTCTTGCTTTGTCGCAGTGATGGGTGTAAAACATCACCCAAATACAACAGGCATCGTGCCTTATGCTCCTGTTAAATAAGAGGAACCCATATGAAAAACAGTGTAAAACTGCAGATATAAAAATATTTATTTGGGGGATGGGAAAACATCCCATCACTTATTACATCCCATCTGCTTATTACATCCCATTTGCACATTGATGCACTGGGATGTAATAAGCAGGTGTTACAGTTCTTATATTGTCATTTTTTTTATCTGTTTAAGAAGCAGAGAAATCTATTCGAATCAGCTGACAAGACTCCACATGGTCAACACCCACTGAAAAGTGATTTGTTTTGGTAGCTAATTTCATACAGCTAATATTTCTTTTTTGTCTATTTTGATAACCACACACGTACAGACATGTTCCTGTAAAGCTTTGAGATGTCAACATATGGCTGTAAGTTGTGCTGTACCTATAATAAGACAAAGACTAACTAATGGCTTTAGCACATGCGTTTTTAAACTAAAAAAAGAAAAAAAGTTAAATAGGATTGTTCCTGTGAACAGTGGGTTATTTTTCTTTGGTTGTAACACATAAGGAATCAGAACAAATGTGGCGTCTAAACTTGCAGCGACCACTGAAAACCCTATTAAGTTACCTCCTTTCACTTTGTCAACCAAAAGCCCATGGAGGCAAATATTTATCCCATGTCGTGGTTGGCTGTGACCAACCAACACTTTTTCAAAAGGACTCACTGCTTAGAGCAGATCAGGTATAATTTTAGGTAACATAGTTACAGGGGTTGGACAATGAAACTGAAACACCTGTCATTTTAGTGTGGGAGGTTTCATGGCTAAATTGGACCAGCCTGGTAGCCAGTCTTCATTGATTGCACATTGCACCAGTAAGAGCAG